CTGCTCATTTTCTTTTTAACATAGCTCATTTCTATGCATATGTAAACAAGAAAGACAAGATTAAAATCTCACTAAGAAAAGAGAAAACACAAAACATTAAAATAAATATTAAGAAAAAGTCCCACTAACTTCAAAATTCTACAGTTATTGCTACACGATCATGACCGCATGATCATCCAAAAACCCGACCCGGGTTTTACAACGGGTCTGTTTGGGTCACAACAACGGGGCTCCGAACCACGTGTTTCCCACCATCAAACCACGTGACCGACCCGAATGTAGCACCCGTTTCTCCCAACACAACATTCCTTGAATCAACCGTCACCGTAACCGCATAGCTCCGTCTCTTAACGGCCGAACTAAACACTAGCCTCGGCGGTTTCACCGTTATCGTAACACCTCTCGGCGACTCGATCCTCGCCCGATAAACCGCCTCGGGCTGCCCGACATTCGTCGCCGTCCGCACAACCGTCTTGCTCAACATCCCTCTTCTAGAAGTAGGAAACAACGCCGTGATCGACGGGTAATTCAAATTTCCCGCCGACGGCTTCCTCGTCGTCGGACATCTCACTGGCGTTCTCGTGATCACTTGAATCGTCTTAGGTCCATACCCGATTGAGCATAGAAACGTTATGTAATCATCGTTGGTTATATCGTAGACAAGACCCGGATCCATAGCCCGACCCAAGTTCAAATGACCCGACCCGTAATCGTACGGTGTGCCCGATTTCCCGGTGGATTCGTCGACTAACGAGCGGTTAGAGTTGTCGACGAGGTTAGTCGTCGTCATCATAGCGGATCTAATCGCGGCGGGGCTCCAATCCGGGTGAGCGGATTTAAGCAGAGCCGCCGCGCCACTAACGTGAGGACAAGCCATAGATGTACCGGAGAGAATGTTAAACTCCGTTTTCCGAGGATCTGAAGCCAAACCTGTAGGTCCCACCGCGTCAGTCCAAGCGGCGAGGATGTTAACTCCTGGAGCAATCAAATCGGGTTTAAAAATCTCCGGGTTTAACCCGTTTGGTCCTCTACCGGAGAAAGAAGCAACCACCGGAGCCGGTTTGATTCCGACTACAGTTCCTCTGAAATCAATCGAAGCAACTGGATTCGGATGTGTAGAAGCGTAATCTTTGATTCTATCTCCTTCGTTTGATCCAACGGCACAAGCCGGAATAAGATGAGCATCTCCGACTAATCCTTCACCGTTAGATGCTCCGTTCGCGAGTATCATCCCAACACCACCAGCTTTCTTCACCACTAAACCTTTCGCTACTCGAGGACTACTTCCTCTATCGCAAATTACGATTTTACCCTTGACATGTTTCGGATCGAGCGAATTCTCCATACACAGAGACGCCGATGACATTCCGGCTTTACCGAGATAAACCACCGGAAACATTCTCCCTTTAAGCGGTACTCCGGCGTAAAGAGATACACCGTTGAGACGATGTCCGTCACCGAGTACAGCATCCGCCGGGAAATTCCGATCGATCGTTCCAGCACCGACGGTGGTTACCCACGGTGCTAGATTCGTAACCGACATACCGTTAGGTCCTTCGTTACCGGCGGAGGAAGAGACAAAGATTCCTTTAGAAGCAGCACCATAAGAGCCAATCGCGATCGGATCTAGATAATACGGCGAGGTGATTCCGTCACCACCACCGATCGATATCGAGATAACGTCGACACCGTCGGAGACAGCGGCATCGAAAGCGGCTAAGATATCGGAATCTAAACAACCGGATTCCTTCCAACAGACTTTGTAGACAGCGATACGAGCTTTAGGAGCAACACCTTTAGCGACGCCGGAAGCGTAACCAGACATACTCGCTTTAAACGCGTGACGACCAGCGGCGGTTGAAGCGGTGTGAGTACCGTGACCATCGGCGTCACGAGGAGAGAGAAACTCAACGGTTTTGTTGATTCCTCCAATCACTGCAGCTTGTTGTCCTTTAGCGAAGAATCTAGCTCCGACGAGTTTCCGATTACAGTTTCTAGGTCCAAATCTGGTACCAGATTCGCAAACGCCTCTCCATCGTTTCGGAATCGGACCTAGGTTAAGATCTGAAAAGCTTCTACGTTCCGGCCAGATTCCGGTATCTAAAACTCCGATTACTACGTCGGATCCGTAATCGGAATCTGACCAAAGCCCCTTTTGATTTTGTAAACCTAGAAATTGAGGAGAACGTGTAGTGTGAAGCTCGCGACGGCGATCTTCGAAAACAGCGAGAACTGCTGGGTGGTTACGGAGGGTATCGGCTTCGTCGGGAGTAATCACGGCGGAGAAGCCGTGGAAGACGGTGTGGTAAACGTGGAGGATTCGTGATTCTTCGGCGAATTCGGTACTGTACCAGTGGTAGTGAGTTGGGAAAATCGACGGCATAGATCCACCATCGATACGGAAAATGAAAGTCTTCGCGGATGAATCGGCGACGAAGGAGATGATCGG